TGTAGCTCAGCAGTCAGGGCACAGCAGGGGTTCCTTTGTCTCAGTCTCACACAGCAGGGGTCCTCTTTGTCTCAGTCGTTGTTCAAGACAGGGTAGGCCTTCTCTCCAGTCTGGCTCTATAATTTCTGAAACTCAAGAGAAATGTGTTGCAAAAGGGCTTTCTTGCAGTAGTTTGGTTCGGAAAGGTTACAACAATGACTCATCCTTGGAGATTCTGGAGATTTGGGTCCCCTTGGGCCCGCATCTCCACTGTGGTGGAGAACCAGCCAAATCAGGCCCCAGCTTTATGGGCAAGAGAGAGAATCTGGTTTTGTAGGTAAAATCCGTGAAATAGAAACCTTTATTTTTTTACAGTTATTTTACAATGAAATACTCCATACAACATTGAAATCAAGGAACCTTTTACAGGCCCAAGCATTTGTTTAACAAATAAAACTACGGTATAAACGTTGTTGTTGTCTGTTTTTTTTTTTTTTACAAATAACTACTGTACTGTACTGTAAAATAATATAGTTATAAATAAATAAGTAATAATTTTAATCAGCAATATGAAATGAAGGGTTAATATTGCGGGGATCAGCACCGCCCCGCCGTGACGGATTGGAAGGGGAGAAAATGAAAAATGATTATGAAAAAAAATACAAAGTAGGCTACAGTAGGAAAAATAGTGACTGACGTGTACACTACAGTATTTCACTGCTGTTCTGACGGAGCCGTGGCATTCTTACTTTGCTCTGTGGCGTTTTTTTCTTCTAAAGTCTGCGGTGCAGGTGTGCTTTTTGGAGAGAAGAGTTATCGGTAGTTGTTGTCGCTCTTTTTTCTTCTGGGCCAAAAGATCCTTATAAACCGACATGCCACCATTAATATGTTTGACAATAAAGTTTAACAATGCATGATGCAAATCCGTGAAGCAGAGAGACCGTGAAAAGTGAACCGCGTTATAGCGAGGGTTCACTGTATTACATAAATTAGTTTAATGTAGTTGTGAATGTGTCCTGACAGGAGTAGCTACAGCCATGTTATGGAGTCAGAACGGTATCAAAGTGTTTGTAAACTTATAAATAATAATGCAGCGGAGATTAAAACCTTTAAAAGATGGTAAAAAAAAAAGGTAAATATGATCCTACTGATGTATTCTGTGGTGGAATTTTATTTTTTCAGTTTCAACTCAGATTTATAAGTTTACAAACATTTTTATCCCCTTCTAACTCCATACGTTAATCTTTATGCAGCTACTATTTGGATTTTTTATTTCTGGTATTGTGTTTACAACATTGTTAGTTGATGACAGAGATTGTCGCTGAAAGATGCTTTGCTAACATTTGTCATGATTCTGCCCTTTTTGGTTCTGTTTAAGTTTTCTTTTTGAGTTTTACTTTGATTCATATTTTTCTGTGTTTTCTAGTTTTATTGGTTTCCTTTCCACTTTGTGTTGTTGAGTTCTTCAGGGTCACTACTGCATGTGTCAGTATTACTTATGCTTTTGCACATTTGGAAGAGTTCCCATTTTAACCAAAAATCCCTTTAAATGCATTAAAATTACCCATTAAAAGTATTATGTACAACTGTGTTTTGTTTTTTCAAAACTGCTGTTTATTTATAGGCATTTTCAAAGCTGGAAGGGTTGGAGCGTTTATTTCTACACCACAATAACTTGACCAGTATTCCACCAAACCTTCCTCGCTCCTTGCGGGACCTGAAGATAAACCATAACAGGATTGAAAAAGTAATGTTTCACCCTGCTCATATTCCTAAACATTTATTATTTGTTTTTCTTTAGTTTTCTCTGAATGTGTATCAAAAAAAAGTAAGTGACTTTCATTTTGTTTTCATTCTTGTCTAGGTATTGCCAACAGATTTAGAAGGAATGGATAATCTCACTATCCTACACCTTCATGACAATGCTGTGACGGATCTGGGCACATCACTGAAGTCTTTGAAATCCCTCACTCAGCTTGACATGAGTAACAACAAACTAATCAAGGTATTTGGACTGAACACAATATTTTATGTATGTATACACTCACCGGCCACTTTATTAGGTACACCTGTCCAACTTGTTAACACTTAATTTCTAAGCAGCCAATCACATGGCGGCAACTCAGTGCATTTAGGCATGTAGACATGGTCAAGACAATCTC